ATTTAGAATGGCGTATGAAATTCTTGGTTAGATTTTCTTCAATATACTCCTTGAATTCAATCAACTCATTTTGTGATAAACTGTAGATTGGTCCAAATGGCAATTGTATTCTTTTTTGAAGGTCAATTGAGTAATCATAGAGACAATATTCGGGGAGTGTATCCACATTCTTTTTTTCAAATACATCTTGAAATTCTTGATTTTGGCTTAGAATGCCACGTGAAGTTTTTGCATCGTTAGAAATGTGTGTGGCATAAATAATATATGGTGATTCTTTCATAGCAGCATGCAAGAAAGCTTTTGCACCTATAAACACGGATTTAATTGAACTGGACTTATGACTCTCTACTTGATTAACTACACTATTATACTTTTAAAGAAAGTAAGAGTTCAGAAAATTCAATCTATTTGAGGATTATATTTTTCTAACCACAATAAATCTAAAATAATTGGATTAGAGGGAGATCTAATGATATTAAATACTACAAAGCTATTATGACCATGGATTATTACTTCTATAGGAAGGGTTTCATGAATAATATCTCCAAAAGACAATGGACGACCATCTATGACTTCTACATGAATAGATTTAGTTTTCTTTACTAAAGATATGCTATGTCTTTTAGTAAATTCTTTATTTAAGAAACACATTGAGGCTTTTGAATCTAACAAGGCAGAGGCTTTGTAATATTTAGGTCCCAAAATAACATTTAATGTAAAACAAAGAGAGGGCTCTAAGGAGAGAATATGACCTTTACTAGATGTTGTGCAAGATTCAAGTCACACGGTCGCCATTGTAGCTAGATAAACTTATTTTCTGACATATTGTCTTCTTTAACAGCTATACTCCTCATTTTGTGGTTGCGTCATTTCTTTGGACAATATTGAGCAGTGTGTTTTGGTTCTCCACAATATAAACATAATCTTTCTTGGCGACGACGAGTCTTTTCTTGCTCAGTAAGAGGTTTGAAACGTACTGCATCAATTTACATATCTTCTACTTCCGAATGTATGTGTTGAAGAGGTGTTGGTGTTGCTATTGAATTATATTAATGTTGAGGTCCACTTGTATGGTTCTCAGATCGAAATTCAAAAAGGCAATTATCGTACTTCACAGCAAAGTCAATTGCTTGACTCAATGTTTGAGGATCAAATAAGTTGAGCATTAATTTTTTTACCTCATATTGTAATCCATAGAAAAATTGGTTAATAAGTACAGAATCATCCCACTTGATATTAGTTGCAAGTTATCAAAATTGTGAAGCATACAATGTTACTGATCAATTATCTTGTTGTAAGATATGGATCTTATTGGTTGTAACACGAATTGCATCATGTTCTCCATACATGGATCAAAACTCCACCAGAAAAGCCTCTAGATTATCCAATATTGGATCTCATCATTCAAAAAAAGACAAAAACCATGATAGTGTTGAACCTAAAAAAAACATACCAATTAATCTAACTTGCGATCCTAGAGTTGGATAGCTTTGGAATTGAAGTTCAATCACAAATTGCACTTAATTGATAAATCCCCGAAACTTAGATCTGGTGCCATCAAACTTCTCGGGTAGGGCAATTCTTGGTTCTCTAACACTGGAAGGGCATTCCACCATAAGAGAAAGGACATGATTTGGTATAGATGTTGAAGCAGCTCCAATTATTTCTATATCTTCACTTCTTATCAATCTTATTGTTCCTTGTGGTGGTAAATTGCGTTGATGCATCGTAAGCATTAAGTCCCTCAATTGCTCTTGTATTTGTACCATTGCACTCTTCATTTCAACAAGTTCTGCCATAATAACACTTAGAAAAGAGAAGTTGTCTAATATCGCTCAAGATAAATAGAAGAGAGGACTTGAGAACAAAGAAAATACTAAGGAAAATATCAGTTTAAAAGAGGGTAATCCATAATTTCTAATATGCTTATATCTTATAAAAAAAAAGGGGTAATTCATTCTTAATCAAGATTAGACAAAGCTCTGATATTGTAGGTGTACTCTTATCAATCTATCAAGGACAAGAACTCGATGAAAAAGTAATTTAGACAACTGAGCCTTCACTCAAAGAAAGGTAAAAAAATATAAATAAACAAGTATATATATTAAAAGAGAAACTAGAATGGCTATTGCTAAAAGATAAGAAAATTAGAAACTCTTGAAACTAGACTGGAAGTAAGAAAGGAGTTGATAAGAGTGAAGAAGGCTTCACTCTTGTCTCTATATATACTATCTAACTAGAGGCTATGTGACAATGTTCTATAGGACTTCCAATATGTGTTGACTTTGTAGGACACTTGCCTTGATTTACAAGGTAAGTTTTTTTACGTGTGGAGTACATAATTAGCTTGATCTTCAAGCTAACAATATGTGTGGCACATGGCCAACTTATTGACCATGTTTCTAATCCAAAAAGTCAATTAAAGACACCTATAAAGTCAAAGCAACATCTATGAAGGTTCTAGGAAGCTTTTATACCAAATACTAAAGAATTAACTTTCTTTTATCTACTTTTACTTACTTCTACCTATATATATATGTAATTACTGGCTTATATGAGTATGTTCGTGACACTAAGCTACCATATTAGCAACATCATATTGACAAAGTTCCTTATCATATTTCTTAACTTCAACAAATCTTTGTGCTAATGTGGCATCTGTGTTATAGTTAAGAATAATTCTTGGTGTAGCTAAATCTAAGAGTTTCTTATCAATCTTGAATAAAAAAATCTTAATAAGTTGGCTATGAATAAATACACCTTGTAGCTTTAATGCAAATCAAGTCAAATAAGTATACATGATTTGTGAGATATTTTCTTTTTTATAATAAAAGTCTTGAATGGATTGCATTTGATTACATCTAAAACATCCATACTTATGCTCCAAGTGCTTTATAAATATTTAGAGAGGTTTAAATGAATGTGATTCTCCTATTGTAGATAAATTTGCATTCATTGCTTGAGCCATGCAAGACAAAGTAGTTGGAGTAGTAGTTAAGAAAGTAACTATTCTTTTTCATTTGGTATCTTTTGAAGATGTATCAACTTCTCCTTGGATTGGATCTTCTTCCTTCACTATAGGCATGAAGCTTAAAATAATATTCTTTTTAATAGCTGAAATAAGCTCTATAAGCGCCTCTCAATAACACTCCATTTCACGCAATTCAAGTTAGTGTTCTTCACTCTATTTTCCATAGAAGGTGTTTAGACACCTTAGCAATCTTAAGCAATCTAAAAAATCTTATTAAATTATTTTCAACTTCAAATAAATCTTAAAAAATCCTAAAAAAAATCCTAAAGTAATAAAAAAATAAATCTTAAAAAAATCCTATTTTTTTTAGAAATTATATTTTTTTTTCAAATTAATTATAAATAAATATTAAAAAATCCTTAGTTAAATCTTTAAAAATTTCTAAAAATCTTAACCAAATCTTAAGTAAATCTTAACAAATCTTAGTCAAGTTCTAATTAATCACCATAATAGACTTTAAACATTAATTATTATTAGATTAACTATTGTTTTTTATTCAAGTATTTTATATAATTTAGTTTATTAATTAAAAAAAGATACAAATTTTAAGAAAATCTAATTTATATATCAATATGCACTCAAATCCCTCAAAAATAATTCTCATAGAGCACCATTTAACATAGATGCACTATTTTGTACTTCAAGGTTTGGTTTTGATCCTAGTTCATAACTTACCTTCTATAGGTATCAATCTAAGATTTATCTAAGTAATTTTTGCTGATTACTATTCTTTATTTCTACCAAAAGATTCCCATGATGATATTTTTGCTAATTAATTTTATTTAGCTTTTTTTATGGCTCTAAAAAGTAAGTAAAATTCTTTTTTATACAAAAGCAATATCAATACTTATCAATTTTATTACATCCTTAACTATATTATTTATATTAAGTTTTATTACCTCCTTAATTATAGAATTTATTTTTAAATTTTCTAATTTTTAAATTTATTTTAGAACACGGTTTTGATGAGTATTTTTTTATACTATTTAAGATCAATAGAGTACCTATTTTTTAATAAGTTAAAAAATATATCAAATATTATCTAAATATTTTTTTTAAAAAAATTAAATTTATTTTTAGATGTATATGGCCAAATTCTATGAAGTTGACTAAACTATGTTTCAATAAAAATTTAAGATTCTTCTTAGATTTAATTTTTTATTTATTTTAATGAAATATGATAAATTTGAATAAAAATATATATACATATATATATATATATATATATATATATATATTCTAAATCTAAGGAAGAAGATCTACAAGGTATCTTTTTGATTGAATTCAAATAATAGATTTCTATATCTAAATTATCTTGAGAATTTTAAGTTAATATTATTTTATGGTTTTTTCTATTTATTAATTTAGTATTAGAGTGGCAGAATTTTAATTTTTTAAATTTTTTCATATATATATATAGATGTTCTTCAAGTCACATTCATACACTTGAAACATATAATCAATTCATGCCATCTTCTAAAAATTAAATTGTTTGGTTTATTTGAGATATTTAAGTACTAATCTTATTTTTGTTTTAATTTTTGAACCTTTGGTTTTATGCATGTTTTTGTTTAATTTTGTTTTTATTTTGTTACGCCAGTCTTTATTGATATTTATTAATGGATTCTACAATAATTCAATCTGAGGATCTCATTTTCTATTATCTCCAATAATATATATATATATATATATATGTATATACACCCCCACACACACTGTAAAACTTATTATTTGCTTCAATAGTTTCTGGCTTTTCATTGGTTTAAAGCAAATACATGTTGAAACATCAAATTAACAAGATAAATTAACACGATAAATTAACAAGATAAATTTTCAGCACGACCAAATTTTCATGCAAGATGGTTATTAAAAAAACAGTTTAGGTCTTTTTTTTTTTCCCCTTTTTTTTTTCTTTTTGTTTCCAACGTCCCTTTTGAATGATTCTATTCAATTCTGATGAACTTCATAACGTTGTCTCCAACTCTTATCCCTCTATTTTATCACTTGGTTTCTAATTTTTGCATATTCACTGCATCTTAATTTCTCACGAAAATACATGTAAGAAAATGATTCCTAACAGCGGGTACATTGTGAAGTTCCCCAGCACCTGAAGTATGCACAGAAATACAACTAAAAATCTACATTGATGTGTAAACAACTCATCAATATTCTCTTCCTATTGTTCCCTCTTGTTTATCTTCCTTTCTGTTTTTTTCTTCTTCTTTTTTTTTTTTTTATTTTTTTCCTAATAATATTTCGTTATACAGATGCCATGCAACAAAAGCATCACGCACCCACAGTTCAGAAGAGCCTGCAATCGACAAATACAAGTGATCGGGTCCAGGATTTCAACTAACATCCAACACAGATGTGCATCTCCTCCGAGTCTGCACAAATGCATTGCATTCTCATGCACTAGATTTGCATTGCAGGTACTTCACAACTAGTGCCGAGATCATCTGCACAGTATGATGCATGGCCAGATCACACCAGAATCCACAGCTCAACGTGCTCCTCCTCCTCAGATCAACACAAGCAGGATGAACAACGGCATGACAATCGACCCTGCAGCTCACCATCTCCGGGACCCTTGCTATCGCATCCGCTGCTGCTCTTGATCCGGCGAAGCGCCGAGGAGGAGAGACCACGACGAGCTGCATCATTGACACTGCTCTAGACTGTCTCGTCAGTCAAGGCAACTCCGGGCATTCGACCAGCACGTGTCGAGCTCAGCATCAGCTTCTCCCGGATGGCCTTCGTCGCTTTCGCTTGGAAACATGACACATCAAGCATCTCAGGCTTATCAGTACTGCCAGGACTTCCATTGCAAAACTATAAGTGTTGATCAAAGGTTGAAATGAATGGATGAGGCACGGACACTCAACTTGTGACCCTTACTTACCCCTGCTATAAGACTTCTAGCCACTGGAAACGGGTGCCAGTGGCACCCTTGTCGCTTGTTGGCATATGTGCCGCTATGTGATCACCACTCACAGTGATACTAAATACTTTTTGCTGCGTTTAGGCGACATAGAACTGCATGCAGCTTTTTATTGCCTGACATGTCATTAACCAGAACTTTTGACTGTCATGCTTCCACTATTTGAATTTGGGTGATAATGGACACCTATGGATTCCTTTACAAATCCAGTGTTTGCGATTGAGAGATTTTCAGCAGTCCGAGCACTGTCCTGTAACTCAAACCTAGACAATTGAGTTAAATCTGCAGGGATCCCTCTTCTCCATTCCAGTGATTGGTAATCGTTCGAGACGGACGTGGCTAGTCTCCCAAAACTAGCACAGATAGAGACCATGATCGTGAACTACACCACAATATCCAGCCAGAGCATGCTTTAAGATTGGACTGCGAGCATCGATGCAGTACGAGATTACGCTCTAACCGTATTTCATTGCGATGAGAAAGTAGATTCTTTGTGTGCACACAGATTTACCATCCTACTCCCTTCAAATCCCAAACGTCAAGAATACAGCACATGATGCAGAAGCAGAGGAAGACTGTGAAATGACCTACCCAAGTGAGTGTGCTCGTTGTCTGGTGGTTGCTCGTGCTGTGTCCCACCGTCAGGTTCAACATCATTCCCATCGACTGAATCCTCTACAGTTGGTGCCGCAGTATGAAAACTGAAACTGGCTGTGGAGTTGTTCAGTAATGAAGCTACAGCTGTGTCGGAGCCGCAATCATCCTGCGTTTCCAAGATTAGAACTTTATTTTCGGGCTTCGATCCTCCAATTGTCGGTGGATTAGGTGCTTGCAAACGAATTTCTGAAGACAAAAATTGAAGACGTTGTCGCGTTTCGAACAAGGGTTGGAATAAATTGAGCTCTTCTCGACTACCATGCTGAAAGTTGCTGCTCCCCATTCCGATCAGCCTACTGCTGCTACAACTCCTCCTTCTCCTCCTCTTCCTCTCCCCTCTCCACCACACAATTAACACTAAACTGCAAACTCGACAACCTGACGAGCCACGAAATTGGATCTTTCCTCGCTCAGTTCATTAGCAATTGCGATTTCTCGCCGGAGTTGCGTAGAAAACCCCAGAAATACCAAGTCAGCGCGTGCTTACCCTTTCTGTTGGCATTCGTTTGACTACACTTCCACCTTTAACTTCTCCTCCGCATATCGACCAAGCAGTTGCTCAACAGTCAAAACAGACCTGGCTTAAACGAATATATCCCAAACATATACACCGTTCAAGATTTCTGCCATAAAATATAAAACATTTCCAAGAAATACCAGCGTGAAACGGAGATCTTAAACGAAGTTCACGAACTGAGAGTGAGAGGAATATAATCCAAGCAGTGGAATACAGACCTACAGACCCTAAAAAAAATTAACAAAAAAAGAAGAAGATGTCTCATGGAATCTTACCGACAAGTTGGCAGACCCCGTCAAGCGAGGTTGTGATTGTGAGCCCCAGGGAAGTTGCGGAGGTTTCTGCTCGGTTGGTGCATTGCCGACCTCTGTTTGTGTTGTGAGGCATTCAACCTGAAAGTTTTATTTGCGAGAGCAGTGACGAGAACTAGCCCTCGACGCGGAGAAATAAAAGGGGAGCGGTAAGCGACGACGATGGCGATTAAGAGCCGAAGGGATAGCGTGCGAAGCAGCACACCCCGGATCCTGAGCTGGATGTGGACGACGGCGAGCGAAGATATCTCAGTCCATGAGAGGATCTGAAAGTGCAACGTAAAGCGCCAAAATATAAGCATGCCGCCCACGACGCTTCCGTCGCCGCTTTTCCAGCCTCATCTGGTTAGTTCTCGTCTTATCACCCAGTTCCGACTCCGCTGATTGTAACTCAGCGCCCAGAGGTCGAATAGTTCATGGAGATTGTCACTTCCCAATGGTCCGGAGTTCGAGATATAATAACTTTTTGCGCCAACCTTGAAACATTTGCAGCAGTTCTGAACATAATCAACTGTACAGAAGAGCAATGGCGAGGAATCATGCATGAGGCTAACAAACGAAGTGGACACATCTGATGACAGATGCAACTGCCTTCTGACAGTCTGTGATCGCCTGAAAATTACTATGTACCGAGAAGCGCAGATTGATTGCTAGAACCTGCAAGTGGTGCATCCAGAGTGGAAAAGAATACTAGTTGTAAGGCGTCAGATTTTACCACTCTTGTAAACGACATTCACGAGTCTACTCCCACTGCCACAGATCTGAAATCCAACCCGGTCTACCTTTCTATATTAATATTTTATACATGCTGGTCTCTCTGTTAAGATACCACAGCCATGACAGACTTCAGGTACAACTCATTTCGAAAACTCTGCTAGTTGTCTGCAAATCTTTATTTATTTTTATTTTTATCCTGCTAATATTCCTCACATGTAGTTTTCAAAATGAGTCAGCTGTGTTTAGACCTATGTAACCTAATACTTCGTGATAGATGTAGAGAATCAAGACTACATACACAAGCAATGATCAAACCTAATATCATAGAATAGCAGTTAGACTGATGCCTGATTCATGTATATGACCCACTTCGGTCCCATGAAGGTTGAGTTCTACTTCGGCGTGGATCTTAACATGTTGACACATCAAAGAGGTTGCAGGCAAATTATTTCTAAAATTCGGGGCCCTAGTTAGATCAAGCATAGTCACCGCTTACTAGAAAACTTGCGGCCCTTAATGGTTTTTGAACCTCTCAATGTCAACCTTTACCCACCTCAGAGGGTCTGTTGGTATGTACACAGAAGGAGCGGTGACCATGCCTACAACATGTACGAAGTTGTAGATTGTGTAAATATGGTACAATCAGTTGTGGAGTTACTGATTGTAGTTGTCACGAAAAGTTGTCAAATCATTCCTTTAAAGTGAATCAAAGACCCCAGCCAACCACGCAACACAATCCAATTCTATGTGTCTCATGTGGCATGAACTTACTGCTGTACAGGAGATTTCATTCGAAGACAATCCGACCAGATCCCTGTCTACTTCTTGCTCGTGTTTCCACCAATTGCAGGATGTACCCTCCCTGTCCCAATCCAAGCTGATGTCCGTATGCACACGCTGCCAAGCTTCCGCAGATAATACCCACAAGGCGTAGCGCGACTTCAGAGCTAAGTGTAAACGCTTTCATAATCTTTTCAGCATGATGTATGGAGTTGAGTTGTTTTACGTGAGTCATACCTACACCTCGTACTCTTAATGGCAGAAACTCACAGACAGAAAGGATCCTGCCGAGAGCTGAAACCAATCTGTAGTTCGTAAACGACTGAAGACATACACTCAATGGTTGGATACGGGGCTTGCTGGGGATTCATATTGACGAAAGAGGAAGTTGAACTCTGGATCTTTGCTGTGCGGGGCAGCTCAGAGTGTGATATGCACAAGCAGACTCCATCGCGAATCCTCACACTGTCGATGTCTCACGTCCGTAAGCCTATTTTAACCTTCGTTGCAAGTCCGAGCCTGGTTCCTCGCTGCGAATAACCCTAAATTAAGCAAATGATATGATTAGGAGTCTGAAAGCATCTAGTATTTTATTAGTCATGCCCTGCGGCAGTACGGAACTTCAGACAAAAACACAGGTCAACTCGAGACCATCTGTAAACACCGAGAAAAAGCTTTAAATAGTTTCCCTGAAGCATTAAGTATAAAGCTGGAGACTTCAGGGAGTCCTTGATCGTGAGCCCTCACGTCATTTTCCAATCCCACGCTCCACATGTGTGCAGCAGGATTGACTTATCGTCCGGAAAGGAAGATGGATTTCGAAATTAGCCTGTACATCAACGTTGATGATCTCAAATTGTGCATAGACCCAAGATCGTTATTCTTAGACACTCGGGTTCAGAAAATTATTGGCTGCTCATGGTGGGAAGCCAAGCTGGCCTGAAGCAAACTGTCAAGGCTCATGTGATGCGGTTTCTCGGGCCTTTGTTGTTCTGCCACCAAAATCGCTGCTCAATCCATCACTTGGTGAAAAGGACAAAACTTGCTATCATTTCTGACGCAAATTGGCTCCAAATTCACTGACCAAGCGTTTGGTTTTGTCTTATTTTTAGCCCTGTTCTAGGAAAGATGTTGGGCGCGAATCTAATTTCCACGATTACAGAGATTGGAACCTGCGAGTTTCATGTTCTTAGAATAGCCGCACATCAGCATGTATCCCTGTAGAGAAGGATGGATTTCGTGCCTTCCAACCTACAGTTTCAGAAATCCTGGGAAAATACCAAAAACTATTCCATTCTGATCTGATTTCTCGACGGCAAGGATGGTTGTTCAGTCTTTGCATTTAGTGATGTTTTTAGATGGTTCCCTCGTTGATCTAATGATGACAGACAGATATTACAGTATCCGAGGTGGATACAGTATGTAAATGGCCAAGTTGTAATGCAGAACCTTTGATTTATACTCAAGGACCCAATCAATGAATTGCATGGGAACCATGATTTTTGTTTCGGGCATCAAACTGAGGGCCCTGAAAGATGGCCTAGTTGTTCAAAAACTGTGCTCCTGGCAACCAGTGCGATTAAATGCTTATTCCTGCAAGTTGCTTTGCACTCGAAGCACCATTATTAATATTTGTCCTATCCCACAATGTCAACCATCCTGAGGAGTGCTTCTATTTGCAGCTCAGACATCAAAAGAGGAAGCGTGCCTTGTAAGACGTCTACATCAAACTGTGGGCGAGGCTGTAATAACTTTCAAATAACTTTCCCCCACCCCCATTAGGAAAAGCTCAATTCAGCCGGGAACGAACTCTGAGGTATAATAGTCTATGAATTCAACCATATGATTATCCTGTAGGGAATATCAAGGGAATCACTGCAACCACTCGTTCCGCCGCATGAAACATGGCTGCAACTGTTTGAAAGTTCAGATGAGGAAAGTGAAGTTGACAACAAGTTTTACGACAGTGATCCCAGCAACAGGACGCAGCTAGCCAGCGGCACGGCTGTGGATCTGAAAGCCCACCTCATCATAATCATCAAGCGGAGTCTTCTGATCTGAAGATGAGACTGATCAGAAGCCATCGTTGCCGAAGTTTGGTTCAGCGTGTAATTGTGTAATGCTGTGGTCTGTGATGTTCTGGTGGAGCGGAGCGGATGAATCTGGTTCGCAGACACGATGTGTGGATGGTGAGGCTGAACTCCCAGTTAAGTCCCAACTCCATGGAAATATCTCATTTGGATTATATTTACATAATTTTCTTTTTTTCTTTTTTTCTTTTTTTCTGATACACAGAAAAGAAAGAAAAAAATTGAAAACATTTGTGAATAGTGGTTGCTGTAATGCTTGCTTTGGCACCTCTACTACCTAGCAAAAATCGTTTTGTACTCTACACATGTTATTACATATGTCAGTAAGAAATTTTTGTTTAAATTTGAACTTTTATATGTTCTAAGTATTTGTGCATTCATAATATTTAGTAGGTTCTCCAAATATTTTCTATGATTTTTTATTAGATTTTCTAAAATTAATGTTTAAAAGTTTTATAAGTTGTTTAATAACACTTTGGAATCATTTAAAGAATTATGAAGATGAGCAATTGAAAATCTCAATGAATCATACCTTGGTTCTATATTAGAGCTAAATAACAAAATTGGTATGTCCTATGATTTCTTCAAAGTAGCAAGTAGTGCTAGCAATTCTTTGTGTATTTCAAAAACACTCTAAGAAGTCTATTAAGACATATTTTAAGATTATAGCTTAAACAAGATTTTATCTTAAGACCATGCCTAAGTTGTGCTACAAAGTTTTAATCTATGACAAGACCAAATAATATTCATTTTTAGGCCAAATTTCTTTTAAAATTCTCCAATAGCTTTAGAATAGTCTATCAGTTTTGATTATATATTTTTATTTTCTATAAGTTATAAAGTAAAAAAAAAAAAAAAAAAAAAAAAAAAATTATTATTTTTAACAACATAACTTTTAGAATTAGAGAATTCTATCTATCTTATTCTTATTATTATTATTATTATTATTATTATTATTATTGGTTTTTAGAAAACTTAATGATATATTGAATAGTCTTTGTGTCTTGTTTTGACCAAAATTTTAAAACTATAATTCTATATAAATTTTTTTTTGCTATACATATTTGCTAGAAATCCTTAACTTGCTTCATATTATTGATTTGTAAATGAGATGTAATTTTTAAAAATCTTATAGTATTTTTTTAAAATTTTTTCTATTAGTCTTTTTATTAAAGATTTATGATTTTATGTTATTTTACCTCTAAAAAAGGCTCATTTTATTTTTAATTTAAAACCAGAAAAAAAATCTATTTATGTTTTTATTTTTATCATTCATTTTTTTAAAATTTAGTTGTTGTAATTGAAAATTCTTAGATTTTAAAGAAAAATTAACTATTTTATTAAAAAAATTGAATAAAAATATGAATAAACTATGATATTTTTATTAAATTTGATTCTAATATTAATATGTTTTTAAGCAATAAGTATGTTAAAATAATATATAGATAGCATATAATAAAGTTTAGCCAAGAAAATCATGAACTTTAATTTTTTAATATAAAGAAGTTATATAAATCAAGCTTATTCTAGTATGGCAATGGTTGTGCTATGAGTTGGATGTAAATACAGATATTATTAGAAAGATAATTGAATTAAACAAGAATATAAAATATATAATCAAGTTTTAAAACTTATATTAAAGTATATTATTCTTTTGAGTTTTAGGATTATTATAGATTGAAATAGTGAGTGTGTAGGATTAAATATTTAATTAAAGAGAAGATCTAATAGTTAGAATTATATATAAAAAAATAGAACAAAGTCTTATACAAATATAACTACAAGTAATGAAAGAAATTTTGATAAGACTAGATGCATATGGAAGTCATGGTAAACCTCATCTTATTAGAAAAATTATAATGAATATCTTTTTAATAAACTTATAATAGTGGTAGATTCTTTATTAGAACATAATTTTTGTGGAAACTGTGCAAGTAATAAATTCTAAAATCAATACAAATAATCTATTTTTATAAATTATAATAATTTTAAAATATATTTATATTTATATTTAGATACTAATTATTATATTTAGAATTCTAAAAATATTATTAAAGTAAAAAATAGTCTAATTTAGAAATTAATGACAAATTAAAAGGCAATAAAAGAAATAAAAAATTAATATCTTTCTATGAGATAGTATTAAGATATAGCAAAAGATGTAACTTAAAAAAATAAAAGACTATAAAATTAATGGAATAATAAAAAAAAAAATTATTGAGGTAGAATTGAAAAATAAATAATAGAGAAGAACACATGAAGTGAATTAGTAAGATATTTTAATTAATCTAAGAGACTATTAAATCTAAAAAAATTTTAAAAATTAAAAAAGTAAGTAAACTAGTAAAAATAAATTGTTAGAAATCCAAAAAAATACATATATTGAGTTTTAATTAACAAAAAGATAAAACATAAGACTAATTTTGATTAAGGCTATGGCATAGTTCATAATTTAATGTATAAGAGAAGGTAATATAAACAAAAAGATAAAAATTGATCTAATAATTTGAAAGTTGACAATTAACTCAATGGATTATTTTACATTTACAAGCCACATATATTTGGATTTAACAACAAATTTCGAATTAGTTAATGTTTGAATAAGCCAACAGCAAAAAATACTATTAGATAGATATAAGAAGAAGATTAAATTAACTTACAAGGTGGCATTATTGGTGCAAATAAAGATTTGTTTTTTTTAAAGAAATGATTAATAATAATAATAATAATATCTATCCATCAAAAATACCTTTTTCTAAGCATTATCATTCAATAAAAATAAAAAAGAATTCAAAGACTTTTATGAGATTTAAAATCAAGATATCTTATAGCCTTATCTATAGGAAAAAAAAAATTGATATGTAGAGTCTTGCAAGTCTAACTAGAAAAGAAGCAAACACAAATGAAATCTTTAAACTAAGAAATGTGGTTTATTTTGAATATTTAAAATGCATCTAAATGAGGCTCTTGAATAAGCATGCCTTTGAGATAAGAAATAGCTATAAATTTAATAATTTTTTTTTGAGAAGAACAGTCATATAAAAAAATTAAAAACCTAAAAGCAATAGATATAATAATTTATTTAAAGAAAAAAATTAAGAAATAAGAAAGCTTTTGATAGTATTAGCTAAGGTATAAAATTACTGCAACTATTACAATTAGACTAAAAAAAAAAAAAAAAAAAAGAGTATGAGAGAAAATTTGGCAAAATTAGCTCCAATCACCTAATTTATAAATGTTTTTTATTTTTTTTATCAATAATATACATAAAAGTGGTACAAGAAGAAAAAAAAATAAATACAGCAAAAATAAAAATGTTACTTGGTGCTATGATTTAAAAAAATAAAATAAAAACTATTATTTTTTAAAAAAAGAAGCTAAAAAAATAAATTAGAAAAATATATATTCAATAAAGTTAAAATAATGGAAGAATAAAAGAAGGAGAAAATAAATAAAAAAATAAGCTAAATAAATTTTGTAAGAAAAAAAATGACAAGATTAAGTAGAGCTATTGAAAGTGTAGATGAGACAAGGTAAGTAAAAATTAGTAAAGAAG